CAAAAGAGTAAAAAGACAACCTACAGACTGGGAAAAAATTTTTGGGTAGGACATATCCAATAAGGGTCTAATCTCTAAAATCTACAAGATACTGCAAAATCTCAACAACAAAAACACAAATAATCCAATTAAAAAATGGGCAAAGGATATGAACGGACACTTCACCGAAGAAGACATTCAGGTGCCTAACAGACACGTGAGGAAATGCTCACGATCATTAGCCATTAAAGAAATGCAAATCAAAACTACAATGAGATATCATCTCACCCCAATAAGGCTGGCACTAATTCAAAAAACACAAAATAACAAATGTTGGAGAGGTTGTGGAGAGACTGGAACTTCATGCACTGCTAGTGGGAATGCAAAATGGTAGAACCACTTTGGAAATTGCTTTGGCGCGTCCTTAAAAAGCTAGAAATAGAAATATTATACGATCCAGCAATCTCACTCCTTGGAATATACCCAAGAGAAATAAAAGCCATCACATGAATAGACATACGCACACCCATGTTAACTGCAGCACTAGTCACAAAAGCAAATAGATGGAAATAACCTAAACGTCCATCAACAGACGAATGGATAAACAAATTATGGTACATACACACAACGGAATTCTATGCAAGGATAAAGAACAATGATGAACCCGTAAAACATCTCACAACATGGATAAATCTGGAGAGCAGTGTGCCAAGTGAAATTAGTCAGTCACAAGAGGACAAATATTGTATGCGACCACTATTATAGAACTCAAGAATAGGTTTAAACACAGAAAAAAAGCATTGTTTGATGGTTAGAATGCTAGGAAGGGAGGAGGAGGGGAAATCACTAGCTAGATAGTAGACAACGATCAACTTCAGTGAAGGGAAGCACAACACACAGTACAGGGGAAGTCAGCACAACTGGACCAAAGCAAAAGCTAAGAAGTTTCCTGGATATATCCAAACACTATGAGGGACAGAGCAGCTGGGGCCTGGGTACCATAGTTTCGGGGGACATCTAGGTCAATTGGCATAATTAAGTTTATTAAGAAAATGTTCTACACCCCACTTTGGTGAGTGGCATCTGTAGTCTTAAAAGCTTGTGAGCGGCCATCTAGGATAAATCAACTGGTCTCATCCCACTTGGAGCAAAGGAAAATGAAGAAAACCAAAGACACAAGGAAAATATTAGCCCAAAGGACTGAAGGACCACATGAACCAGAGACTCCACCAACCTGAGACCAGAAGAACTAGACAGTGCCCAGCTACCACCAATGACCGCCCTGACAGGGAACACAACAGACAGTCCTGGATAGAACAGGAAAAAAATGTAGAACAGAACTCAAATTCATGTAAAAAGATCAGACTTAATGGTCTGACATAGACTGGAGGAACCCTAAAACTACGGCCCCTGGATGAACTGTTAACCCAGAACTGAAACCATTCCCAAAGCCCACTCTTCAGACAGAGCTTAGACAGGACTATAAAACTAAAAAATAATACACGTGAGGAATGTGCTTCTTAGTTCAACCAGATATACGACACCAAATGGGCAGCTCCTGTCCCAAAGGAGGATAAGAAGGCAGGAAAGGACAGCAACTGGTCAAACGGACAAAGGGAACCCGGAGTGGAAAGAGGGAGTGTGCTGTCACATTGTGGGGATTGCAACTAATGTCACAAAACAATACATGTAAAAATTTTTGTATAAGAAATTAACTTGAGCTGTAAACTTTCAACTAAAGCATAATAAAAACAAAAAAATCAAAAAGGGGAAAGGATATGAACAGATATTTCACCAAAAAGTATATTCATATGCCCAAGAAGCACATGAAAAGAAGCTCAATGTCATTAGCCATTTAACTAAACTGAATCGAATCTGTTGCCATCAAGTCAACTCTGACTCATGGTGATTCCATGTTACAAAGTAGAACTGAGCTCCATGGGGTTTTCTTGGCTATAATCTTTACAGAAGCAGATCACCAGGTTTTCTTCTGCAGAATCACCGGGTGGGTTCAAATCACCAACCTTTACCTAAGAGTACCAAAAAAAAAATCAAATCCACTGCCGTCGAGTCGATTCCGACTCATAGCAACCCTATAGGACAGAGGAGAACTGTCCCATATGGTTTCCAAGGAGTGGCTAGTGGATTTGAACTGCCGACCTTTTGGTTAGCAGCCAAGCTCTTAACCACTAGGCCACCAGGGCTCCTTTAGGTAAGTAATGAAGCACAAACCCTTTGCACCACCCAGGAACCCAGTCATTAGCCATTAATCAAACCAGACCCAGTACTGCTGAGTTGATTCTGACTCAAAGTGACCCTACAGGACAGAGTAGACCTGTCCCATAGGGTTTCTAAGGCTGTAATCTTTACGGAAGCAGACTGTCACATCTGTCTCCCTAAGGAGCTGCTGATGGGTTTGTAACATGACCTTTTAGTTAGCAGCCAAGCTCTTAACCACTGAGCCACCAGTACTCCTTCATTATCCATTACCACTACTCATTGCTGTTGAGCTGATTCCAACTCAAAAACAAAACCACAATGAGATATCACCTCACTTCCATTAGAATGGCAATGATCAACCAGAAAAAAGGAAAACAATAGGTGTGGGCAAGGTTGTGGAGAAACTGGAACCCTTATCCATTGCTTTTGGGAATGTAAAATCATACAGCCACATGGAAAACAGTTTGGCAGTTCCTCAAAAAGTTAAACACAGAACTACCATATGACCCAGCAATCCCAATCCTAGATATATATACCCAGAAGAAGTGAAAACAGGAACACTAACAGAAACCTGTACACCAATGCTCTCTGCAGCACTTTTCACAATAGCTAATAGGTGAAATCAACCGAAATGTCCATCAACAGATGAATGGATAAACAAAATGTGGTACATACACACAATGGAATACTACTCAGCCATAAAGCAAAATGAAGTCCTGATGCATGCCACTACATGGATGAACCCTGAAAATATTATGCTGAGTGAAGTAAGTCAGTGAGTTGCAAAAGGGTAAACATTGTATGATCTTAGTTATACAAAATAAGCAAACACATACAAACTGGAAATTATTAGTGGTTACCATGGGTGGGAGGGAGGGGAAAGAAGGAGTTTTGCTTAGGGGGCGTTGAGTTTATTATGTTAATGGTGGTGGAATAATTTGGAAAAGGATAATTATAACGGTCATACAACATGAAGAATGTAATATAATGTCACTGAAACGTAGAATTTGTTGACTTAGTAAATGTTTTGTATATATTTTCACAATAAAATTAATATTGTTATGCATTTATTGATAAATATATTCAAAATACGTTGTTAAGTGAAAAAAGCAGACTACACAGCAATACAGATGATGTACGATGCTACTTTGGTTTTCCTAACTAAATATACACACACACACACACACACACACAATTGTGAATGGGTTTTTCGGTCTCTCTTCTCTCTGGGCTTTAGCCTAAAGCTGGTTGTTGCTTTTTAATATTTTTCAAATTTTTCTACCATTAATTTCATTCTTCGTGCAGATAAAGGAATACTTAATTAAAATAAGAGCACAGTTCTAGGCAGTTTCTTTACTTCCCTATCAAACCAATCCTGTTTTGAACCTGCATAAAAATACTATCTTCTTACCTGTCTGAGCAACTCCAGCTTCTTCAGTTCCTCATTGTAGGCTTCTGGGTTCTCTCCATAATTCTTCAGGACAAACTAAAGAGGGAGAGAAGGCTGTAAGCCAGTGAGAGAAGAGACCCCTCCTTCCCCGCCCTCTGAGTCCTTAGGCTGAGGGTTGCGTCCAGACCCACAACCACAAGCCCATTTCCTGGACCACCACGGAACTCTGCCTTAATAACTGGGCAGTAGCAAGATGCTGACAGCCGGAGTGGCCTCCTTTGAGCAAAATGGAAAACAAGACTGATGACCCTGGGTAAATACCCAGGGTAGTCCTCATAATGCCACAACCCAAACTCTACAAAGTCCAGGACTCTGCTGACCCAAGAAGCCAGGAAACTTAGCTGCCAGAAATGGATCCGAAGGAGGATCCTAAGGAGTCACAAACTCAAGCAGCCCTTGAGGAGCAAGCAAGCCCTGCTGTGTTCCGAAGTCACAATCATAGCCCTAGTCCAACAGAATTTTTCATTCAACCAAGAGTCAACGACAAAGGCAGCTGAAAAGAACTACTCCTGTTGCAGCCTCCTGCAACAGCTGGTGTCTTGATTAGCAATCTGGGGGGCCACATCCATTTATTCCACAAAAACTAAGGGCACTAGACACCCTAGCCAAGGTTTGTGATGCGGAGAGGAAAGGAGACTGACAAAGGCCAAGAGGTAGCCTGCTCTGTCCATCATCACACCATGTCTGTGTCCCACCCACCTTTCCCGGGTGCCTTTGTGGAGGGTCCATGACACGTGGCTAAGGAATCAGCAATGTGGGGCTCCGGAAGGTTGGGTGGCAGCTTCTACCTGCACTGGTGGGGAAAGGGAAAGGAGAGAAGGGAGGCTACCGCTGGGCTATTTACAGCACTGTTGAGCCCCTATTCCGAGCTTGTGACCCTGACCCCTCTTTTCCTGTTGGTTTTACCTCCTAAAAGCCTGTGTCCATAAGCTTTCTTCTCTATCCCCTGCCACCTCTGGCCTGGACAATCCATCCCTTCAAATCCATCCCTTACATGTGGCCAGAACTAACACAACACTGCTGTCACTCCTAGCTTTAAATCCTTCTGAAACACACACACACCCACACACATATGGGGAAAAAATACACCAAAATGCTTAGCTCAAGATAATCTGACTACTGAATATAAAAAAGTTGTAATCTAAAGAGAAAAATTGTAATCTAAAAAGAATGTGCTATATAGGCAGTTCCCAGATTATGAATGACTTCCATTCCTAAATCTGTCTTTAAGTAGAATCTGTACGTAAATTGAACAGTTAGGAATGGTTCATAACTAACATCAGTTAGTGAAATGTTTGTCACAGTATATAGTGTATCTTTCTATACATAAGTAACATTAAAGAAACACTTCCAGATACACTAAAACATCTTCCACGTGATACAGTGACAATAATGTTTTGACGAGTGTCACAAAGTAGTGCCCATTTGTCATTATGAACCATTGTATGTACTTCAAATTTTTGATAGGCTTTACGGGGGTTGGTCTGTAACTACTGTTGTACGTGAACTGGACATTCGTAAGCTGGGGCCTGTCTGCAGTGACTCTCCAAAGCCTCCAGGAACAAATCCAAGCTCCTCAGCACACAGTTCATCACCCTTCACAACCTGCTCCCAACAGCCTTCAAGGTTTGTCCTCTGACACCTTTCAGGGCCACCCAGCTAACACTACTTTGTAATTACTGTTCTCAGATCTCAATGCTTCTCCATATGTTCTCCCCCTTCTCTACTGAGACTCAGCTGGAATGTCACTTCCTCAAAAGTTAGCTGCTGTTCTCCCCACCTTCAGACTTGCCTCCATCAGGATGTGCCTCACAGCAGGGTCATGCTGTGATTTCCCATACCCCAGACAATGAGTGCCTCAAGGAATGGGAGGAGCCTTAATATATGTGTTGTATACTCAGCAAATGGTTACCTTTATAGGAAATGCAGAAAACAGAAATACAAACTAAGTAAAACCTAAAGGAGTCACAGAAAAACTCAGCAATTAGGGCATTGTGCCAAACAACTAACCCATTCCTTCAAAACACAGGGGACTATTCTGGATTCAAAGAGACTAAAGAGACAGAACAACTAAATACAATATGTGAACCCTGATTCTATGAGTTTGGGGGGAAAAAAGTTATAAATCAAAGGGTTCATGAGGGGTGTGTGTGTGTGTGTGCGCGTGTCTGTGTGTGTGTAGACACACACATACATAAGCAGCCCTGGTGGCAGAGTGGTTAAGAGCTCTGCTGCTAACCAAAATGTTGGCAGTTCAAATCCACCAGCCGCTCCTTGGAAACCCTATGGGGCAGTTCTGCTCTGACCTATAGGATGGCTGAGTCAGAATCAACTTGACAGCAACAAGTTTTTTGGTGTGATATGTGTGTGTATGTGTGTATGTATACACACATATACACACACACAATATATACATACATACTCATACACACACATAAAATACACAAAGAAAGAAAGCAAATACAGTGAAATGTAAGCCACCGTCATATATAAGTAGTATTCGGGTGATCACTGTATTATTCTTTCAACAATTCTGTATGTTTGAAATTTGGGAAACAAAAGTTTTAAGAATTGCTAAAGAGATAAATGGTACCTGGAAAACACTTTCCCCTAGATCAGTGGTTCTTAGCCTTTTGTGGATCCTTTGAGAATATGATAAAAGCCACGAAAAAAATCTCTCAAGAAATATTCAATTGTACACAAACACAAAAACCTGTCCGTAATTTTAGCGGGGTCACAGATACTCTGAAGCCCACTTATGGGCTCCTGGTTAACAATCTTTGCTCTGGATCATCTCTCTAACAGGGACACGAGCTCCAGTCCCTGCTTCTCTCACCCCTCCTCCCACCACAAAACACAAATATAAAATGTGGCCTGGGCTACAGTGCATAACTTGACTATCTAAATGGGGAAATGTTCTTTGATTAAATCCCGTTTCGTAAGGGGTTCTAGTTTGCCCACCCTTAGGCTAGAGATGGAGCCTGCTGGCCACGTGGGAGAGAGGCCAAAGCAATTAGGGGAACACCTGTGAGTCCTAGAGACAAGACTTCTCCGAACATCACCGAGAAAATCTGTCCCTGCTGTTCACACAATGGAAAAGAGGAAAGATGTCGCCCCCTGCCACCAGGAAATTGTCCCTAGAGGTCGCCTTCTACATGTATCTCATTCCCCCTCCAAGATCAGTAGCAGCCAACACTAACTGAGCTCCTCCTACGGGCCACACACAGCGCTGAGTGCTTAACAGTCACTTAATCTTTACAAAACCTCAATGAGGCTGAAACTATCATCATCGTCATTTTACAAATGAAAAAAAATGAGGCAAAGAGGTTAGGACGCTTGCCAAGGTCACCATGCTGGTAACCAATGGAGTAACGACCGAAACCCAGGCATCTGGGCTCCAGAGTCCATGTTCTTAATCCCTCATCATACCAATTCATTTCTATTTTTTAAACATGGTTCTTACAAACAATTGAAAAACTGGGAAGAGAAAACTAATCTCAGGCCACGTGGTGAGTCAGTGGAGCAGCCAGGATATTTAAACCCTGACAAAATCCTCTGTGACTGCTGCCCACTTCCCTACTGAACAAAGAGGCTGGCTGAAGGTCCTAGGACAAGGAAGGGACAGAGACCTTCTCACAGTCTCTCTGCTCTAGTACTCTGCAGAGCTCAGAACAAAGTCTGGCCAGGAGACTAAAGCTTCCGACAGAGCAAAGGCAGAGCCTGAGAAGGCAGGCTAAGCAGCAGGTCAAGCCTGAATTTTGGCCACCACAGACCAAGAGCAAGAAACCAGAAGGCAAGTGGCCATCTAAGATGCATCAATTGGTCCCAACCCACTTGGAGCAAAGGAGAATGAAGAACACCAAAGACACAAGGAAAATATTAGCCCAAGAGACAAAAGGCCCACATTAACCAGAGACTGCATCAGCCTGAGAGCAGAAGAACTAGATAGTACCCAGCTACCACCAATGACCACCCTGAGAGGGAACACAACAGAGTCCTTGATAGAGTGGGAGAAAAGTGTGGAACAGAACTCAAATTCACGTAAAAAGACCAGACTTAATGGTCTGACTGAGACTGGAGGAACCCCCGAAGCCATGGCCCCCAGATGCTCTGTTAACCCAGACCTAAAACCATTCCCGAAGCTCACTCTTCAGACAAGGATTAGACTGAACTACAAAACATAATACTCGTGAAGAGTGTGCTTCTTAATTCAAGCAGATACACAAGACCAAATGGGCACCTCCTGTCCAGAGGCAGGCTGAAAAGACAGGAAGGGACAGGAGCTGGTTGGATGGACACGGGAAACCCGGGGTGGAAATGGGAGTGTGTTGTCCCATTGTAGGGACTGCAACTAGTGTCACATGACAATATGTGTATAAAATTTTGTATGAGAGATTAACTTGAGCTGTAAACTTTCATCTAAATAAAGTACCAAAAAAAAAAAGTCAGAATCGACTCAACAGTAGCAAAAAAAAAAAAAAAGAAAAGAAAAGAAGAAACCAGAAGGCACTGACAGGACCCCAGCATACCTACACATCTGACAGGCGGTGGGGGTGGGAGGAGGACCAGAGAACCTCGGGGGCCCAGAGGTTTTGGAGCAGGTAGGGATCCTTTTCTAAGGGAACAAAAGAAGACCTACAGAAAGGTCTATGGTAAGTGAGAGTATGTCCAGGGATCAGAGCCACTGGAAAAGGAAAGAAAGAAGCTGCAAGTGAAAAAACAGTAAAAGAGAATGGAAAGGTCATTTCCAGAGAGAAATACTAAGACAGGGTTTAAGTCCTGCATGTGCACTGGGTCACTGCGAGATCCGGGCTTGGTTTTTTCATCTGTGAAATGAGGTTAGTAATTACGTATGTCTAACTGACAGTGCTGTCAAAAGGACTTGAGCTATTTCCTAAAGACAAAAAGAAGATGCTCAGCTAAAAATATTGCTTTCAACATGCCAAGCCCTCTACTAGACTCACACGTATTAACTCTTTTGATTCTTACAAGCTTACAAGGTATTATTAACTCCAAGTTACAGGTGAGAAAACTGAGGATCAGATTAGTTATGTAATCATTTGTAACAGCTGATGGTCACCCAGCTATCAAGTAGAGATGTGGATACTGAACCGAAGTCTGTATGATTGCAATGTCTGTGCTATTCTCATAATGCTGTGCTGTGCTTTTACTGAGCAACAAATGGCACAGAATTCTGTAGCTAGATGAGATTACTGGGAACATCCATCCTGGGTCCTGCCATTCTCGACAGATAGAGAAATGGGAAATCAGGATGAGCAACGGCAGTGCTAGAATCCCAGCCAGATTTCCCAAGTCCTAACTCGGATTGATCATGGGGATGGCACAGGACCAGGCCATGTTTTGTTCCGTTGTGCATGGGGTCACCATGAGTTGGGGGCCGCCTCAATGCCAGGTAACAACAACGCAGGGATATTCCCTCAGCATCACCCTTCTCTAGTACTGGATATTCCCAGTAATTTCATCATATCTCCATTCTTTGTGTATGCTTTTATTTGGGGTATCTATCTTTCGCTCTTAATTTGATATAACATCTTGGAATTTCATGGTGCTAATTAAAGCAACAAACTAAGAAAAAAGGCAGGAAAAAGCATCATACATGTTAGCATTAACTTTGTTAACCATACATATTATGTTTCTTTTTTCCTCCACTCCCAGGGTTCACTCCAATATGGGACATTCCTCAGGCTCTTCCAAGAAACATAACAAATTTGAATCCCACATACAATATTTTTAATTAATACAATACATGCTCTGCTACTGAATTTCAAACACGATTCATTTTATTCAGAGAAAAGAGTATTGCCCCTTGGTCCATGACAGCAAGCCTGAGTCCAAGTCATAGCCAAAAGCCCAGGAATGAAAATAGACCTTCATTCCCTCGTCTAACCCTTACATGATACTCAAGGCCACTCTGCTACATCCCTTCTAAATGCCCTTCAGCCAGTCTGAACAACACAAGTGAGGAGGACTCAAATTACATTTCCCAGAGGACGCTAGAACTAGACCAGGTCATTCAACCAACACTTGTCAAGCACTCTCTACACATGAGTATTTATTACTTCCTGAGTAAAGGGCAGAATCTGGTCTAATCCCTCAGTGAAATGGATACTGGTGTATGAGATCAAAGTCAGAGAAGAATGAACTGGACAATCCAGGTCATCTGTGCCTGGAGCCATTTCACTGGGAAACACAAGTGGGCAGACAGGCTCAGGAGACCGGCTGGGTGACTTCAAATCTGTGATAAGAGGTAAGACAGGTCACCACCGCGGGGAACTGACAAGGCTGGGGCCTTACAGCCTCTGGTACTCTCCTTTTCACAGGTGCATGTGCATGTGTGTACGTGCACAGGGCAGATTATCCAACAAGAAAGCGAAGCACAGGCTTACTTGTGCTCATTTACAATCCGTAGTGAACAATTTCACATGAGTTTCACCACATGGGCAGATTACCCAGAAAGCAAGGTAAGCACTGGGTAATCCGCCCCATCAGGGATTGTAAATTTGAGAAGAGGCTTTGATTCTGTAGGAAGGTGCTGTGGGGTTGGGGGAGAGAGAGATGCCAGCCATACCCAGAAGAAGAATCTCTGATGTGGTGAAAAAATGTGAAATTGTTCACTACAGATTCGTAAGTATGCACAAGCAAGCATAGGCTTACCTTGCGTATTGGATAATCCATCCCTGGTGCGTGTGTGTGTTGGGGAGGGGGTCCAGGTCAGGAAGAGTTCCCAGGCTACAGTGGCTGCAGAGACTCCACTGCAGGAAAGGAAGGGAGTTCCAGGGCACTCTGATGGGGGTGGCCATTCCCGAGACCAGCCTGCCCACAGACTGCTGTTCCTTTTCAGTGTATTCATACAAACACATGCCAGTCTTAGCCTATCATATCACATGGCAGTATATTTCCCAATCCCAAAGAAGAGGAAACAAAGAAAAAGACTTGATGTCTAAGAAATGAATTGTTTCCTGAACACTGGATACCACTTCAGGCTAAATGGCAACTCCTCTTATGGAGGCCTAGGGGCTCCCAGGGAAGTCACTGCTCACATAATACCTTGTTGGCTAAGAGTAAGGACCAGAGCAGCAAAGGTTAAACTCAAACAAAATATCTCCTGGGAATTTCTGGGCTAAGATTTTATCCACTTGATTTCCACATTTGTGGTCACTGTCTCTAATCTGAACTGTCATTCAGTCATTTGAGAAACATTCTCCTGAGAGCCAACTGTGTAGAAGGTACCCTGCTAGACTGTGAGAAACACGGAGATGCCTCTCAGGAAACTTAAAATTGAACACAGGAAATATGTAAGGAAAATTCAGACAGCACACATAACTGTCATCAGGAAAAGAATGAAAAAAGAAAAGGAAAAGGTTAACTCAGATGAAGGAATAAGGAAGGTTTTGTGGAAGAGGCAGAGCTTAAGCTGGGCCTTGAAAGACGGACAGAACCAATATACAGAGGTTAAAGAAAGGCCTCATCCCCGCCCCACAAGGCCAAGTTGAGAGCTCTTCTAGGCAGCAGGAACTCCGTGACCAAAGGTGCCTAAGAGGGAAGACACAGAGCGTGTTACGGGAACAGCAAGTGGCTGTAAACACAATCTGCACTACCTGTATCAGAAGCACATAAAAAAAAACAAACCCTTAATTGTTTAATTTTTTTGGGGGGGGTGGGATGGGTGGGGGTAGGTTAATTTACACCTAAAATAGCTTTTCCAGAGATGGTATGCTCCTGTACTAGACTGTAAGCTCTCTGAGGGCAGTCTGTCAAATTTACATCTTTGTATCTTTCTCAGTGCCAAGCACAGTGACTTGCACATAATAGGCGCTCAATAAATACTGATGATGAATGAAAAACAAACTGAACCCATTGACGTCGAGTCAATTCTGACTCATAGCAACCCTACAGGATAGAGGAGAACTGCCCCATAGGGTTTCCAAGGCTGTAATCAGACTGTGACAGCTTTCTCCCGCAGAAGAGCTGGCTGATTCGAACCACTGACCTTTCATTAGCAGCTGAGCAAGCGCTTAACCACTGTGCCACCAGGGCTCCTTTCAGAAGCACATCCAAAAAAACCAAACCCATTGCTGTCGAGTCTATTCCGACTTATAGTGACCTCACAGGACAGAACAGAACTGCCCCACAGGGTTTCCAAGGAGCAGCTAGTAGGTTCAAACTGCTGACCTTCTGGTTAGCAGCCGAGCTCTTAACCACTGCACCACCAGGGCTCCTTTTCAGAAGCACACAGTAGGGCCTAAATAAAACTGAGCCAGGTCAGGGAGAACTCTCAATGACAAACTAAGAATATTGACCTTCATTCCATAAAAACAGAAAACAGTTGTTTTGTTGTATTTTAGAAAAATTCATCTTATTGTACTCGTATGAAAGAGCAGATGAAGAAGAGACTAAAAGCTGTGGAAGAGAACAAAATTGTGGAATTAGTCTAATTTCCTGGTTTTACAGAAGAGAAAATAGGCCTAAAGAGGCTAAACGATGAACTCAAAAGGAATACAAATTGTCAGTGTCTGAACTAAGGCATGGCAATGCACAGGGAGGAAGAGAGACAGCTTCTTGGGAAACCACCTCCAAGCCCACTTTCTTTCTCCTACTTCTTTTCTCAAGCACCTGATGAATGGCACACAATCTAGATTGTCTGGCGCTTACTTTGGCAGCTGCTGCTCTGTAACCAGAAGGCTGCCCACCTGCAACACCCTCCTGATTGTTCCTTTTCACTTCTGCTCTCCTCAATGCTACCAGCTGGCCCTCCCAAAGGATCCACGGGCATCCTGAGGGGGCAACTGATGCTCAATCACCACACCTGATCTCTCCACAGAGGCCTCAGTTAACACCAGACCTCCTTGTCTGTCCTGTCCAACTGCTGGTTCAACACAATGACTAGTAAGACCTCTATGGGAGCAACAACACCATTTATACTCTCTGAGCACTTATGGAAAACAGTAACCCGTTGCCTTAGAGTCCACTCTGACTCATGGCACCCCCAAGTGTGTCATAGTAGAACTGTACTCCACAGGGTTTTCACTGATTTTTTTGGAAGTAGATCGCCAGACCTTTCTTCTGAGGTACCTCTGGGAGGACTCCAATCTCTAACCTTAAGGTTAGCAGCTGGACGCACTAACCATTTGCACTACCCAGATTCCATGAAAAACAGTAACACTCCCAAAAATAACAGGGAATTATATCTTTTAGTCCAAAAGGGCTTCCAAGTAGGATACTTGTAAGGAAACCATACAGAATTGCACCAAGTGTGAGAGAGGCCTCCACCGCAAGGGTAAGGCATCCCTCTGGATATGAAGTCACGGGGGGGGGGGGGGGAGTCCTGTCTTAAACACGTCTTAAGCCGTCCTCAGAGTCTGTCCCAGACGGGTCGTGGACTGTCAAGAGTATAGAGGGCCAGGCACAGCTGTCCAACTTGGATGATAAGGGCCGCCCCGACCCCGAGGAGCGGTCACAGCGTGGAGGAATGGCGGGGCAGAACCAAGTCCAGGGCATCATACCAAGGAAGTGCGGAGTAGAGTGGATGGTTCAGGGAAGAAGTCGGGAAACGGGTTCCAGCGAGTATGAATGTCTAAGCCGAGAGAGGGTGGGGGAGGGGGATGGTCAGCAGGCGCAGGGACTAAGCCAGGCTGAGCGAAGCCGGCGGAGGCCCTTCCTGGCCTCACTTGACCCTGCCACGGGGTCCGGGTAGGTGATGGACGCGCAGGGGGCGTCACGCTCCTGCAGACGACGGAGATGCGCCGGGGGGTGGCGGCAGGGGGAGGCGCTCTCACCTTCTTCACGGCGGGCTGGAAGTGGAAGTCACCAGCCTCCTTCAGGTCCAGCCAGATCATGGGCATGCGGGGAACGGCCTCCATGGCGGCTGGTGCCAGCCAGCCACCAGGCCTCTGCCCTCCCTCACTGCTTCGGCTGCTGGCTCAGCCGCGCGCTCTACCCCGCCCCTCCACTCCGGAAGTCACTGGTCACGCGGGGACGAAAAAATGCCCCCGAGGCCTACTGGGAGATGCAGTCCTGGCACCGCCCGCGCAGCCTTTTGCGCATGTCAAGTCTCCTTTGCGCATGCTCACTCTCCTTCTCGCGGAGGGAGGAGGTGGAACCTCCTGCCTGAGGCGAAAGAGTTCCTGGGAGTAGTGGTCTTCCTCCACTAAGCTGTGAAGCCGAGGGTTTGTTCTTTTCCTCCTTCGGGAGCCAAACAGACCTCGCGGAGGTCCTCCTTCAAGGAAAGGGCGTTAGAGGACCCACACGTGAACGTGTAGTGTCAAGTGACGTCGAGGGCCGTGCAGAACCGGGACCGATGCTGTGATAGAGATAACGTTCCCAGAGGAAGTGCAAACAGAGCGCTGAGGGAGGTTACGGAAGGGCCGCTGGGGCTGGAAGGAAGGAGATAGGGATAAGGAGAGAGCTGGGGGTTTCATTCCAAGGGCTGCGAAGGTTCTTGAGCTTTGGAGCAGGGGGGCGACCGACAGAAGACTGCCACCCACTCTCAGCCCAGCCGGGAAGGCCAGTCACTGCTTAGGAGAGACGGGCGTGCCCATATGTGATGATGGGGAAAGAGCGCCTAAGTGGTGTGCAAAGCGAAAAAGGGAGGCTCAGCAATATGGGTAGATGGCGTGGGAATAAATATATACGGCTATGTGAGTACTTAGGGACACCCAGACTGTCTGGAAGGGGACGATGGAATCGAGAACACTTGTTGCCGCAGAAGAGTGGACCTGTAGAGTAGATTTTATTCTGGGTGAATTTTTGAATCACATGCATCACCTAGGAGCCCAGGTTGCGTAGTGGTTAAAGCGCTAGGCTGCTAACCAAACGGTCAGCGGTTCGAACCCACCAGCCGCTCCATGGGAAAAAGATGTGGCAGTCTGCTTTGTAAAGATTTACAGCCTATGGGGCAGTTCTACTCTGTTCTATAGGGTTACTATAAGTTGAATCAATGGAAATGGGTTTTGGATGCATCAGGTATTTTTAGAAATAAATAACGGAGAATGGTTTGGAGATACGAGGGCAAAAGTGGGAGAGGGAGACAGTGAGGAAGCTGTTGCAGGCTTCCAGGTGATGGTAACTTAAGGTGGAAAGGGGTGAAAAGTGGGCAGATTTGAGAAATGTTTTGGAGACAAAAGTGTCAGAACGTGGGGTGGACTGCAAGTGGGGGATGAGGACAGGACTTGGAACTGGTTCCTTTGGATTGAACCCTTGCTGAGAATTTGCATTCCTAACAAGCCCCCCCTCCCCCAGAGAGCATACATAAGAATCACCTGGGGATCTTGTTAAACTGTAGATTCTGATTCAGTATATCTGGGGTGGAAATGCAAATTCTCAGCAGGGAACTTGCTAGAAATGCAAATTCTCAGTGGAGGTTTGAACTAAAAGAAAAAAAAGAATCGGTTAGAAGCTCTGGATGAGGGTCCAAGATGATTTCTAAGTTTTGGCTGTTAACAGCTGGGTGGCTACAGGGCTGTGTACCGAGATGGAAAAACAGGGGAAGGAATACGTTTTTAGGGAATAGCAGAGGTTCAGGTCTGTTTGTGTTAAGCTGGAGACACCTTTGAATCACTCGAGATGTGGAGGATACCATGGGATGTGGGACCTGGGCTCAGAGAAGAGACCTCACCCACAAGGCAGGGCCCAGGTCTCCTTTGCAGTGAAACCCTGAAACCTTTCAAGCTTAGTCAAGGGCCTTGCTTCATGCCAGCTGGAGTTAGAACAAAAGAAAATGCAAGACCTTGTAGATGATTTTTTTTTTTAAAGAAAAAATTTCACCAGCGTCTTAAAAGAGCTTGGATCTGGAGGACCATTTTTAGATTGCCAGTCAGAGATGGAGACGTTGAGGACAAGGCCCATGCCCTGAAAAATCCCAACCATGAAGAAGAGGGAGAAACTTACCTCAACACAATTCATGGTAAATGAAAGGCATGAACATCAAGCAGCCCACCCTGGAGCTCTCTTTGATGAGTTGGGTAGTGGTCAACCATAGGGGAGTCACTAGACCTAGGCACAGCCACCAGCGCCAAAGCAGGCTGGGGAATAGGGGACTACAGCATGGCATTGCTAAGCTGGGAAAGAGGCAGGACTCAGGGACCTGGGACTCAGGAGGCAGGCAGCAGCTTAGACACAGGACACAGCCCAGGCCCCAAGGCATGAGGCTAGTAAGGAGTCAGGATTAAGCAGCTGCAGTTCAGTGTGGCTGGAACAGTTGGGAAGGGAGAAGCAGAGGAGGAGTCGGGAACCCTAAACAGAGCCTTGCAAGACAGAGAGGGCCTAAAGAGGCCTTCCAGGTAGGTGGAACTGCAGGTGCAAAAGGGAGCTGTGGCCAAACTCCAGGATTCAAAGCAAGACAGGTGAGCTGCTATCTCATGGGCTACAACCTTTGGCCTAATGTCTTTTCTTCCCCTGGCCTCATCTCTGCAGAATGAAAACATTTTGGCCCCCCGCCGTGGTAGTTCTGGAAACCCTGGTGGTGTAGTGGTTAAGAGCTACGGCTGCTAATTAAAAGGTTGGAAGTTCAAATCCACTAGGCGCTTCTTGGAAACACTATGGGGCAGTTCTACTCTCTCCTATAGGGTGGCTATGACTTGGAATCAACTCGATGGCAATAGTTTTTTTTTTTTTTTTTTTTTTTAACGGTGGTTCTGGGTATGAACTACAACAGGCATGACATACCATAGGTGTAAGTTATTGGTGTGAGGGGCATCAAAGACCAAGGCCTTGTGAGGTGGACTTGGATGCTGAGACCATGGGGTAGAGATGGGCCAATGGAAGTGAGACGGTAGAAAGGCTATCTCTGGGACAGAGGGTGCCCACCTGATGTACATATTTCCTCACAGAGATTTGCCAACTAGGAACTCAGTGGTGCTGGGGAAGAGGCAGCCCAGTCACAAAGGGGCAGCAAACCCCCAGTCCAGCTAGGTTAGCTCACCCCTTTCTCAAGACTAGAAGGGCCCTCAGAAATAAACAGACACCCTCTCCTGTTTTACCAATGTGGAAACTGAGGCCCAGTTTGGGGAGGAGACCACCCAGAGTCTCCCAGCAAGTGAATGTAAGAGTCCAGGCTGGGTTGTACAACAAGATGGATGTAATTAATGTCACTGAATTGTACATGTAAAAAAATGTTGAAATAGCAAATGTGTGTATATACATACACACACACATATATATATGTGGAGCCCTGCTGGCACAGTGGTTAAGTACTCAGCTGCTAACGCAAAGACCAGTGGTTCAAACCCACCAGCTGCTCCAAGGGAGAAGGATGTGGCAGTCTCCTTTCGTAAAGATTACAGCCTTGGAAAGTCTGTGGGGCAGTTCTACTCTTGTATGGTTACTATGAGTCGGAACTGACCTGACTGTACCTAACAACATATATACATGTTGTTGTTGTTAGGTTCGGTTGAGCTGGTTCCAGTTCATACCAACCCTGTGTACAACAGAACAAAACACTGCCCAGTCCTGTGTCATCCTCACAATCATTGTTATGCTTGAGCCCATTGTTGCAGCCACTGTATCAGTCCATCTTGTTGAGGGTCTTTCTCTTTTTCACTGACCCTGTATTTACCAAGCATGATGTCCTTCTCCAGGGACTGGTCCCTCCTGATAACATGTCCAAAGTATGTGAGAGGTCCTTGCTTCCAAGGAGCATTCTGGTTATACTTCTTCCAAGACAGATTTGTTTGTTCTTTTGGCAGTCCATGGTATATTTAATATTCTTCAGCAATACCACAATACAAAGGTGTCAATTCTTCAGTCTTCCTTATTCATATGTGTGTGTGTGTATATATATATATATATATATATATATATAATATGTATATACCACAATAATAAAAAGAAAAAAAGAATCTAGGCTGGCCCTGGGTCTCCTCCCTCCCAGTTCATTTATTCAATGGACAAAGATCCTTGCTCTCATGAGGTCACATTCTAGTGAGGGGAAACAAACATGAACGTAATAAAGAATACACACTGTGTTAACTAACTGCTATGGTAAGATGAAAACATAAAGGAGAGAAAGGAGGATGGGAGTACAGGGAGGTGGGACACACGATTTCATATCAAGTGGTCAGAGAAGGCATCACCGACAAGGTAATATTTGAGCGGAGATCTGAAATAAGTGAAGGAGCAAACCGGAGCATATCTAGGGGAAGAGTGTTCTAGGAAGAGGGAAAGCATATGCAAAGCCCTGAGTCAGGACTATGCCTGGAGTGCCTGAAGAACAGCACAGAGGTCAGAGTGGCTGAGGCACAGCAAGCATGGAGAGCAGCAGGAGATGGGGTCAGCGAGGTAGGGGGACATAGGGGTTGCAGGTGGGGTAGAGTCTCAAAGGCCACGATGAAGGCCTGGACTTTTCTTCAGATGAGCTAGGGAGCCATGACAGGGTTTGAAACAGGAGGGCTATGAGCTGACCTGAGTATTTAAAGGATTACACTGGCTGCTGTAATGATAGACTGGAGGGGGCTGGGGAAAGTGTGCCCAAACTAAGGGTTGTGGTTTCCCAAAACACTGTCCTGGGCCCTATGCGGGGGAGGGTGGGGGGAAGACAGGAGAACTGCATCACTCAGCTCTTGCCTTCAGGGTCTTTGTAATCAGTTCTGAGATACGGACACACACAGGAAACGTGATGGGAACTTAAGAAAGGAACTTACAAGGGCAGAAGTACTGTCTGGGTTAGGGGGGTTTGGTGTGCTCAGGCCAGCCAATGAAGCCAAACTACCCCCCACAAAATGGGGTGAGGATGGTGTGAGCCTAGAGGAGGCAAAGAATCTAATGGGGTTGGTGATGAGGGAAGGCTTCCTGGAGGAGAAAAGGTGATCCATAGGCTCAGTGCAATTCCCACCAAACTCCCAATTTTTTTTTGTGCAAGTTGACAAGGTGTTTCTCAAATTTATATGGAAAAGCAAAGGCTTTAGAAGAACCTAGAAAGTCTTAAAGAAGAGAAATAAAATAAGAAGACACTGCATCAAATATCTAGACCTGTTAGAAAG